GCATGATAGCTCCAATGGCTTGTGCTGTCTTGCCTCATGATTAGATCAACACTGTTTCTTCTGAGTTCATCATTTCCAGAGTAAAACAGTAATTTTCTGACTGAAAATGTCCTAATCCACTCCACTTTAGTCCATTCACGCCCAGGATTCCAACGTTTAAATATTCCATTTCATGTTTTATGATTTCAAGCTTACTTTGATTCATATGTCTCACATTCCATGTTGGACTTTCCTTTTGCATCTATTCACATCAGCAATTTGCATGTCCTTTCAGCTTCAAAATGGCTGCATCATTACGAACAGTGCTATTTGTATTTGTCTTCTGCTCTTCCCCATTAGCTAAATAAGTGCCTTCCAACCAGGGGGTCCTGTCTTCCAGCACTGTATCTTTTTATACTTACCTGGCAGGAGAGAGACCACACTGTATCTTCTTTCATTTTGGGTTGTTTCATTATAGGGGTTTCAAGATACGTGATAATAAGAAGCGGTTTACTATGGCCTTCTTCCACTTCTAACAAGGGTTATTTTAAGTGTCACTGCCATTGTCCATTACAAATTCTGTGCCACTATTACTGCTGCCCAACAGCTACCCTTCAAGGATTCTTTTCAAACACTTTTTGTCTGCAAGAATGCACCCTGCATGAATTCACTAGGTAGTATATAGGTCAGATTTCCTACCAACATACAGTCCCAGAATGCTGACTGTGTTTGTTCCTAAATCCAAATTATCAATCATAATCTCACCTAGGACAAATATTAGTTCAGCTCAGTCAAATGTTATCTGGCTAAATGATCAAACTGTGTATATGTTCTTGTTAGTTCCTTATTGTTTTCATAACTTGTCAAGGATTTGGCATTTATTGGTTGTTTTACTAAATATGGGTTCAAAGTCTGTTTGGGGGACTTATGCAAGAACTATGGAGAAATCCATGTGATTTGTGGCAAATGTTTTCATTTAAACTATGTTTTAAATCTTCATGGTAATAGTAGATGGTTTGTGAAGTGCTTCCGGATGGACAACAAAATAACACTGAATAGTAGTTTTAGAATATATGGGTTGATACCACTATTTTAATGTCTGCAGTAGAATAATTATGAATGGTGAATTTTGATGAATGCTGATGGGATCTGGCGATGTGATGTACCCAGGGGTCTTGTTGTAGAAAAAGAGCTGCCGGAGCTCATTAGCATAACTCATTAGCATAACTTATTTGCATATGCCACGCCCCCTGACATCACCGGAAGTGACAGAAGGCCACACCCCCTGACATCACCGGAAGTGTGTCAGAAGGCCTGATGTACCTATGGAGCAAGGTGGCAGAGTACATAAGGCATTGTCACAAAATGAGAATAAATGCACTTTTGACTCTCTACAATATTTGTGTACATGAATAATGTGGCTAATGTAGGACAGAAAGTGGAACAGAGCTATTTTAAAATATATTGTACATTTTAGCCAACAGTTTTACAGATTTGGGAAAATACACTTTTTGAGAAAATGCTGAAAGGCATGACTGCATTCCTGTAGACCTTAACTCTGAGTCTTTATTGGTGTAGACAAATCGGTTGCCTTCAATCTATGCTCTCAACACTAAGTGGGGATCTGGACCTTTAGAGGAAGGAAATCAGTTCACACCACACATTGAACATTCCTATACAAATGGCATTCCTATAGGCCATGTGAGCTGTCATACTTTGGAAAACAGCTTCAGACAGACTTTGTTATGAATAAACTATTGTGGTTTTGTTGCTTATACTAATATGTTATGTCATAGATTTTAGTCTGTTCACTACTTTGGAAACATGTTGAGAGGCAATGCACAAATGTATCTAAAATAATTTTTTGTTAATTTTTTATTAAAGTATGCATGTGTGTGTATGGAGGGGCCTTAATCATATTTACCACTAATTTTGCTCTTATCAGCTCAATCCAATTTTAAAATATAGTTTCTCCCTAAGAATTATTTTTAATTATTCTGGAAAAAGTACTATATTTTATAGAATGGCAGCTATTTTTGCCTAGACTTGGATATGCTAGCACTATGCAAATATTATTTGCAGATTTAGTATGTGCAGTTCTCATGTATTATTCTATGGAAATTACAACTGCTGGGACCATCAGTGGAAGAAAAGAGAGTGATGGAAAGAGTTGCCCCAGACTAACAGATCAAAACCAATGATTGAGAGGTGCCTCAGCAGTAGGGTTGCCAGCCCCCAGGTGGTGGCTGGAGATCTCCCACTACTACAGCTGTTCTCCAGGTGACAGAGATCAATCCCCCTGGCCACTCTGGAAGATGGACTCAGTGGCATTATGCCCCAAACCCCACCCTCCTCAGGCTCCCCTTCTGGTGTGAAATGAACATCTTATTCTTAAGTATATAATAAGACCAATATATAAGTATATTATACATTAAGTGTGTGTGTGTGTGTGTGTGTGTGTGTGTGTGTGTGTGTGTGGTAAGCAGTGGCTGGACAAACACCTGTCAGGGATGTTCTAGGCTGATCCTGGGTTGGACTAGATGGCCTGTATGGCTCTTTCCAACTCTGTGATTCTATGAATCTATGATCAGACCAAAACCCTTCTAATCATGCATTCTGTTTCCAACACCAGCCAACCAGATATTCACAGGAAGTTCAGATTTTGTTTATGCAGGCACTTTATAATAATATAAGCAAAAGTCAGGCCCCTTAGAATTTAAAGTTTTACAACAGGGGAAACAAGAATGGATGGGAGAAGCAAAGGTAGCCACAGTAAATGTTAACAGACACTGTTGCACTCCTAAGTTTTCGTTTAAATTAAGGGTGAGGACTAAGGGGTTATGCCATAGGTTTCAGGTGGATTTTGAGGAGAGGTCCTATTGTCCAGTTGTTCCAGGAGATAATTCCAGGTGTAGGGACCAGCAAGGGGCAATAGGCAGAGGATGAGCCTTTAGGATGCTAGAGTTGGTGGAGCAAAGGTCATGAGCAGGAGAAACAGGGATTAGGTAGGACATCTTTTACAGGTCATTTTTTAAATGCCTCAATTCTATTGCAGTGGTATACCAAACCAAAAGCTACATAAGACCAAACAAAATAACATAACACATTGTGCAGGCTTTTGCGTTCTCCAGAACTCTTCATCAGGGTGTATGTTAAAACAAAAAGAGAGCCAGAGAGAAACACATTAAGGTCATGGCATTAAGGCATCTCTGTCTGCATCCTGTAGGATTAGATGCTATCAAATTGCACCCCGCCATGCTGGGGAACAGCAAAACTGGGAGCCATTTAGCTGAAAATATAACAACCAAAGTATTTGATCAATTATTAGAATCAGAGACGTTTTATTCCATTGTATGGCTCTTGAAAGGGGTCTTTACCATGCTTTGAAAAGTCTGACCCCACCCCCCTCCCGTTTGCTTAGCAGTGAGCAGTCAGCCTGAGGAGTTCTGGTCTGGAGAAGCCACAAGCTTGCTATTTGGTGATTGGTCCTAACAGAAAGGTATTACATGACGGCTATTTTTGGAATTTTTCTACGGACCAACAAAGCCAGCTACAGACTTCGTCCAAGTCGAATATTTTCTCGAATGCTTATCAGTCTCCCTCTCCCTTGTTTGGCCTGGTTTTTAACAGACTGGATTAAGCGCGTGTGGGATTAATTTCTGGTTTGTTTGTTTAAGAGTGTCCGTTTCACAAAACTCGAATGCGAGTTGATGCCAGGCCAGAAGACTTTCCCTGTTTTGGCTTCCCTTTTGCATCCTTTGCAAAAAGTCTGGTTATAGCTGGACTAGGCGACAAGAGCGCGAGAACCGTCCCCGCCCCCTCGCCCCGTTGTCGGCTCCGTTTCCTTGCAGACCGCCTCTTGGCGAAGGGTGGAAGAAACCAAGTTTTCATAAGTCTAACCGACTTCCTCTATTGTTGACTGCGGCTTCCTTGGTTGCAATGAAATGATTCTGGGGAGGCTGCGTGTTGTGGTCGAGACCTGTAGGAGGCGCTGCCGCGGGAGGCTGAGCACAAGGACTTGGAAGTCAGAGCAGAGCCTGCTTGGTAGCCGCTCTGAATCCGACCGGAGCCGCTCCTTCCATGGTGACATCAGCAGTAGAGAGCAGAGGCTGTGATTCAGGGTAGGGGCTGCTCCGGGGAGATTAAAAGCGCCTCCTCCAACTCCTAAGCAAGTTATTCCCCGAACCCAAACACAGGCAGGCGGGTCTTTAGTCTTCCCTCGGGCAGAAGAGACAATCGCCACCCGTCCGACCTGTTCCAGACAGGTTATGCCGGCTCAGGAGGACCTCCAGCGCTCAAGCATTCCAGTATAGTTGTCGTCGCTCCTGCGACAGGGGCAACCCGATAACAAGCCCATCCCCTGTGAAATTAATATCCTACCGATTTCCCCTTTCCATGGGGCAAAGAAAGTTCATGCCACCCCTGCCATCTGTAATAGTTCGATGCAACCTTTTGTTTGCTGGGAAGTCACGTCACTTTAAGCTTGCCATAGGATTGCAACCTCAGCAGCAAACATTCGCGGGGACCTCCTTTACAAAAATGTTAAACCCACTCGGTGCCTTCCACAAGCCTGCCAGGGAGGTAAAATAGCGATTGGCCTGAAGTCACTCAACTATCTTGCAGATCCGAGGCGCGATTTGAACCTCGAACTCTCTGCCCGAAGTCCAACGCTCCTATCCTCTAGACCCCATTATGCTCAAGTACTCCCCTCGGGTGAAACTGGATTCACACTTAAGAAAAGGGCGTACTGGCCCCAATCCACGATCGCCCACCCCCCACTCTTCTTCTTGTTGCGAGGGAGCGGGGTTAGGCGTAACGCTCCAGCCTTTTCCAGTAAACGGCTCCCGGCTCCCCCCGCCCCCCGGGAGAGCTCCCTTTACGAGAGAGGGCCCTGCTCCCCCAGCGCAGAAGGCGGCCTCCTCCCCCAGTGGCGGAGAAGGTTGTCCGTCCGCGTTGAAGGGCGGGGGCTGGCTCGGGCTCTTTCTCCCTCCCTCCCTCTCTCTCTCTCTCTCTTTCCAAGTTTCTGCTCCTCCCTCCTTCGCACAAACTTTCCCGTCGCTCTTGCGCTGTTCCCGGCTCCCTCTACTCCGTGCGCGGCGGATTCCTCAGCCAGCCAGCCGCGCCTCCCCGGCCCGCCGCCTTCCTGCTACCCTGTCACCCTTTTGCCGAACCGAACCAAAGCCTCTGCTAGCCGTATCAGCGGGACCGCCACCCACCCAGCCTCCCTCCCCCCCGGACGAAGTAAGTGAGTGAGCGAGCAGGCGCTCTTTTATTCTTTCTTCTCTCCCGGCCCTCCGGTCCTGGGAACTCTTTTAAGGAGGGAAGGAAGACGACGGGACTCTGTTGCGCGCCCCCCTTCAGTAGTCCGGAGCGCGGGGGCCGGCGCAGTTTCCCCGCCCCCTGTCCCTTCACAGACCCCCCCCCCCCACCGCAAGTCTTTCTCCCGCCCATATAGTTGGTAGTGGTAGTCAGACGGAGTACAGGGAAGCCCCTATTTTTTTTCCCACCCGCAGTCCCCGAGTTTCACTCCTATCGGCCGTGTTTTGTTTTCCTCTGAAGAAGGGAATCGTATTCTTGGAGCCTCTTGGGGTACCTCCGCCCTTGGAGTAAGCTCCCCTGCTCAGCCGACTTTGGGGGCAGGGGGGCAGGGGGAAAGCCCGAGGACTCAGAGAAGAGTCCTACAGTTTCCACTTGGAAGACATCCAGAAGTGTTTTAGAAAGTTTGGTTTCTGCTCCAACTCCTGGTTTTCTCAGTTGAAGTTTTGAAATCAGTGGCCTGTAACAGATTTGGATTTCTTTCTTTTATTTTCCTTACACTTTGTACTTCCCAGTTGGTTGTAACTGTGATCACAGTCTGTGCTTCTGCCAAGAGGGCTTCAGTGTATGATAGACAGTGTATTGATAACTAGAATAGAGCAGATTTCTCTGTGTAAAAAATAGGTTATATAATCTCATTTGCCTCCCAGGCATTAAGATTTTGTGTGGGTCCCCTTCCGAGGTTTGATTGTTTTTGAATTCAAGGTGGAGCGGAAGTATTTTAAAACAGGATTTGTTCTTCTTGTGTACGGACAGCCAGTGTGAGAGCGCAAGAGACTTCCACTCAGTCTGTATGTTGAACAACTTTTACCTAGGCCGTAGGAGAGCCGTGTTGACAATTTACGGATTGCACAAACACATTTCCTTAATTAATTACTTTTGTGTGTGATTTGCGTAATGCTGTATTTCTCACTTGTTGGCTACATGCGGAAAGGCTAATGCTTTTGTACATTCATTGCATGTATATGCTGTATTGTACTCAGGAAAACTACATGTAAAATGGCACATTTCCTAATCAGGGGAGGGGGAGGAAGAACAGAAGCAATGTTAGGTGGTGGGAGGAGAATAAACAATTTACAAATGTTTTAAAAAGCCCTAGGTAGGGTTGGATAGAACAAGCTACACCATATACTAATCATAAACACCCCAGCAAATCCAGTTCTGATCAATTCGTGTTGGACAATTGACCTATAGTGTTAATGGATTAACAAAGAACATAAGAAAGCACTGAGACCAGAGGGCAAGAGAACTAAAAAAAGAGATCCTGGTGGAGGAGCTTCCTATTGTCTGTCATAAATAAGAGCAATGGTGTACTAATAGTTTCATTGAGGACAGTACTGTGGCAGTTCCCTTTCAAGCCAATTGGATAGTTTTCAGAATCAGAGATAAGTTTTGGAGGCAGCCATTTGCCTGTCCTGTGTGAAGTCACATAGCAATAAGCTGGGAAAGGGATTGTGAGGGAGAAGATGCAGTGCATCTTCCAGGGGACGTGGTTTCTTGTGAAAAAGGGAAAGACATTACTGAGGGAGCTGACACTTGGTTCTCTTGTACCAGAGACCTCTCTGGCTTGCTACTGTTTGGTCATGACTCTGCAGGGCTGGATGTATGGCTGATCATGCAGGCCCAGGCATGTAAGCACTTGTGCCGTACAGGGGCATAGCTGTCTAAAAAACAGCACCTGGGTTGCGCTGTATGCTGCTGTGTGAAATCCAAGCTCCCCTAACCAAAGAGCTGCTTCTGTGGAGAGCTTGCCTTCCCATTGTCTTCACAGCTGTTATAAAAACAGTGGTGTATAATACAGATGAAGCCTCATGCCTTTCCTTGGTTTACATTTCGGAAACTGAGGTGGGAGTGAACAGGCTAAAGGTGCAGCTTGCAGATGGTAATGTGACAAACATACAGCAAACTGAAAATCAGCCAAGTATTTCCAAATTCCTTAAAACAATAGCAGTTCTAGGGGATCTCTTGCAAACCTCCACTAACAAAAGTTCATCAGAAGGTTTTCTTGCTACAGGCGAACTTAACCTTGTTTATGGTGTGATGTGTTCTAAAACTCTCATGACTTAAGCAAAAACATAGGAATATGTCTACTTGACATCCATGCCCTGTCTGACCTATTAAAGTTTCGCAGGGCATGTAAGGCAGAGATGTTCTGCCAGGCCTTTGGCCGAGGCCAGTGACGGTTCCTTACATCTGCCCGGCACACCCCCTCCCCCATAACTGAATGCTAGATATGCCATCTTGTTCTTAAAATGTTTTCATATACTTATGTTTTAATGTTTTTAATATTGATTTGTTATGGTTTTAATTGGTTTTATAATGTATTGAATTATTCTTTTGTAAACCGCTCTGAAGGGCGGTCAAGAAATCTAATGAAATAAATAAATAAATAAATATGCATTTATATTATAGATACAGAAAATAATTGTTGAGTAACAGGAATATCAATTCCAAACCTTTCCTGTGACTTTTATTTCTCAGTAGTAATTTACATATAAAGCCAAACCAAAGGCAGTAATTATCTTTGTACCCCCCCATAGCTTTAAGAGTATCAGTGTACAAACACATAAGACAATACAATGATTATGATCATTAATAGCTTTGCCAGATCTCCTTGTTTACATACTTCGATATTAATTGATCTAGGAAGAGAAGGTTGATTGGAGGTTTTATAATAATGTGCATACCTGTGGTCCCCTGTCTCTAAAAAGGTTCCTTACACAGAGAGTTAATGTGAGTGCTCAGGCTGGCTGTTGTGGAAATTTTAAATCCAGTTAATTTCTCATTTGAAAAAGTTTCAAATCCTGTTTCAGATTTCTACAATAATAATGCCATGAAAGGTAGACACAAAGTTTAAGTTTGTGTGATAGAATAAAACTTTCAAAGTTGTTAGATGTAAAAGCCCACTCTCACTAGAAGATTTTAATTTTGCATCAATGGATGCAGCATAAGAACATAAGAGACGCCAATGTTGGATCAGGCCAAAGGCCCATCCAGTCCAACACTCTGTATCACACAGTGGCCAGAAATACCAGTGCCATCAGAAGGTTCAACAGTGGGGCCAGGACATTAGAAGCCCTCCCACTGTTGACTGTTGATATGCTATCAGACTTATTGTTTCAGTTTCAAATGCTTTGCTTTAGTTTATTTAACACAAGGGAGTGGGGATAGGATGCTATGGTAGGTGGTAGCTGGAAGATCTATGATTTATTCAGTTTAGGGCACTTTCAAATAACAGATACCTGTCTAGGGATTTCTTGAATTCCTCCGTGGAAGCATGCTCCCAGGCATTTATACTGGGATAATTTATACTGGGGTGCCCCTCACAGGAAAGATCAGAGTTTTCCTTCTGTAGGTAGAGCCTCCCTCAAAGTGGAACACTTTGGTGGTAGGAATTAAGAATACAAAAGATGGGGTTGGATCCAGTACAGCATTTCTGTGGGGACCCCCAGGAAAGGCATTTACAGCTGCTGTGGAAGGGGGCACTGAGAAACTCATGCTTGAAAGTCCCTGAGCATCTGGAAATGTTGTGCTGCAGGTGCTTGTAATGTGGTGCTTGATTTCACCAAGGTTAAGTCTATATTTCTGCATCTCCTATGAAATATTGAATCCCATTCGTTGTTGCTCAGAATAAGTCTCACTGTGTTCATTCATAGGACTGTAGTTTCTGTTCCCCCAGTTTTAAAGGCTTAGCAGAATAGCCATTTCAAAGTGCCAATGATTGTGTGAGTGGCCGTGATGTCAGTTGATTTTGTATAGGAGCCTGAACTAGCATCAAACCAGACTGGAAGTTAAGACAATTGCCACAATATGATACCTTTCACAAAACAAGTTTGACAGCTCTTGGTCCAGTTTCCTTATGGGACCGGCACTTGTCTCACAGAAACCACCAGCCCTGTTGAAGGTAACTGGCCCTCCTTGTTTGCAGTTTCTTGTTTGCAGTTACACAATTGCTTCTCTGGTTCTGTTGGTTTGAGATGCACAATAACTTCAGATGGGTGGCTAACTTCAGATGGGTAGCTTTTGCCTGCTCATGCCCTTGCTTTTTTCAGGACTCTGTGGTCTGCTTCATGAACAAACCGAACCCCCTTGTGGGATGCTTCTTAAATTGACCCCGGTTGGGCACAGTTCTTGGAGAGCCAGTTGCTAGTCTTGCCACACTCTCCTTGCAATAGTGTAGTTTGTATGGCATCATTGGCTGCATTGTTCCTCCCAGTCCACTTGAAATACCTGGGCTTTTAAATGTTGATCTTGAGTAGCGGAAGGTGTGTCAATGAAGAACTTTGCTAAGAATACTGAAGGTAAGGAAGTGCATATAGGAGAAGGGTGATTTTTGTAGGCATGCGTAGAACATTCCCTCCCAGCTTTTATGAAAAGAACTGACCTCCTAGTATGTTGCTTACAACCCACTTTGTATTATGTTTCCAAATAATCTGAATAACAACTCTCATGCATAAAGTTGTGTCAACCCTCTATCCACCAGAAGTGCAGAGGAGTTAGGAAAATAAAATAGGTGCCGAGCTGAAGACAGTACCATACATTACTAATTGCTATGGAAAAAGTGCATGTGTGAGACAATCTACGGGCATCTGTAAATGCAGTGTTCCCATCACATGTAAACAAACACTTAAGGCTACATCTGCACACGCATGACATCCACACTTAGCATGTTTGCTGCAGAGCAATCCTAATGGGTAGTGCTGCCCTGATCCTAATCCTGACATTCATTTATCGCATCACCTTCTGGTTACAGCCACAAGCAGCTGTAGTTGCTGCTTCTTTTTCAGTGAAGCATGTTGAAGCCCATAGTAAAACCTGCCTAGCTGTATTTGTGTATTATTGAAGGCAATCAAGGAGCTGGCTCATTTCTTTATTCTTTGTGCGTGACATAGGGGAATCTGCTAAGTGAGGAATAGTTGAACGAT